CTAGCAAGGATCCCAGGAGATGGGACAAATTTATTGCTGGAACGATTCTTAGCTAGAGAAAGTGATAGCTAGTACTGAGCCAGGTAGAAATATTCAAGTTGTAACCACAGAGGATAGAGGAATCAATGAAAAAGCTAAGGATTGTAGACCTCAGAGGAAGGAGATGATATGAGGTCAAGGATGTTCCGTGGGTGATCTCCCATGGCAAAACACTGAGAAAGACCATCAGGAATGTTCTAGAAAGAGGCACCAGCACTGCTGAGACAGTCCTCAGATGGTAGGTGACACACAGACTTGGGCTGTAATGTCATTTGAATGATGGCCCTAAAATAATACAACCAGGTAAAAGCACTTAATTACTAGATCAGTTGGTGGAGTACTTGCCTAGTATCCGTGAGACCCTGAGTTTGATCCCTGTGCACTACATAAACTGGGTTGGTAGCATACAACTGTGATTCAAGCACTGGGGAGGAAGAAGTAGGAGGATTAGAAGTTGAAGGTCATCCTCTGCTGCATAGTGAGTTCCATGTTAGCCTGAGCTACATGAGACCCTGTCTCAATAAGTCAAGGACAGAGGAACAGGAAGTTGAGGGAAGTCACCTGAATAAAAAGTCATGAAGATGTCAGCTACCACAGATTGAGAGTTCAAGGCCACCCTGGCCTACGTAATGTCTCTCTTCTGGCTCAGAGAAGACTGCTGATTTAGCCTAAGGTTGGGCCAATCACAATCATCAGATTGGATCATTTATTTTTGACCAATCACCATCATTTGTTCGGGCCAATCACAGACTTGCCTCTTAGTAACAGCCACAGTATCCTTCTGCTGGACCATCAGAATCAGACCTTCTCTGATTAAGGTGGAAATGATTCCAGAGTCATCTAGAATTCATTACCAGTTGTGAGAGTGAAAGTTTAGTGCCTGGTATCTCAAACAGCTCTGGCTGAGGTGCACCTTGAGGCACTAAGAACTTATGATCAGCTGCAATCTGTGATCACCCTATAGTTCTCTCAAGGTATTTGTGGGGTGTTCTTAATGACAGGTGTCCACAGAAGAGTAAACCCCTTTCTGACAGTCTTTTTGCTCAAGGCAGCAATGACAGAAAACTAGAATCCAATAGTGGGTAATCTGGCAGCCAAATTATCTAGTGCCCTACCACCTTTGCTAATTTTCAGGAAATAACAGGAATCCCACAACAGGAATGCTGGACATCCTGGCTCAGGCCTGTGATTCCAAACCCCAGCACTTGGGAGACTGAATGTAGAGCTTCTTATTGTTTAGCCTCAGCTGGCCATAAAACTTAAGATTCTCCTGCCTCAGTCTCCCATGTACTGAGATTATAGGTGTCTTCCACCATGACCACCCTTATCATCATCATCATCATCATCATCATCATAATCATCATCATCATCATTTTGTGGTACGTGGAATTCAACTCAAGACCTCATGCACACTAGGGAAACACTCTACCATCAACCTACATTCTCAGCCCTGAATCTGACTTTATTTGGGAGGGGAGTGGTAGGAGGGGTGGGGAGGTGTTTAAAACAAGGTCTCACTATGTTGCCTGGCTGCTCCGGAGCTCACTACAGCAGACTAGCCTGAACTTGAGGCTATCTTCCTCCCTCACCAAGGGCTAGATTTACAGGCCTGAGCAACCATACCTAGAGAGGATTCTTGCTAGCCAGACATGGTGGCACATGCCTTCAATCCCAGCACCCAAAAGGCAGAGGCAGGTGGATCTCTGTTAGTTAAAAGCCAGCCTGATATATGTGTTGTGTGTGTGTGTGTGTGTGTGTGTGTGTGTGTGAATGAATGAACCTGAAACCGATGATAGCAAAGGGGAGAGGTTAAATGAAGAACAGTGGAGCTAGCAGAATCCAGATAAGAAAATACATGAAAATCACACCATTCTCTTTTTCTTTTGGTGATATTGGCAGTCTATCTTGGGATCCCCTGAAACTTCAGTTTCCAGTAGTTGTGACTGTTCTGAAATGGGTGCTAGGAACCAAACCCAGGTCCTCTGCTGAACCATCTCTTCAGTCCATCTTATACAGTTTTTAATATTTTATTTATTTTTTTTTCATTTTATGTGTATGAGTGTATTGCCTGAACGTGTGTAAGCGCACCTGCGTCGGCAATGCCCTCAGAGGACAGAGAGGGTTTTGGATCCCCTGGAACTGAAGTTACGGATGGTTGTTAGCCACCATGTGGGTGCTGGGAATCAAACCACAGTTCTCTGCAAGAGCAGCTAGTGCTCTTAACCGCTGAACTGCCGAACCATCTCTCTAGCCTCCCAATTTTTAAAATAACAACCCAAATAATAAATTGTAAGGGAAATTAAGAGATGAAGAGAGAATTTACAGATTGAAGAAAAGTCTAAAATACATATCAGGTAACTATAGTATGTAAACCTCATTTGGATCCTGATTCAAACAGCTTTTTATTTTTGGAGACAGGGTCTCCCTGAAGCCCAAGCTGGCCTAGAACTCACTATGTAGATCCAGCTAGCCTCAAACTCAGAGATCCACCTTCCACTTACCTCCCAAGTGCTGGGATTAAAGGCGTGTGCCACCACGCCTGGCTGTTTGTTTTTGAGACAGGCTCTTCCTATGTAGTCCTGGCTGTCCTGGAACTTGCTATGTAGACCAGGCTGGCCTGGAACTCACAGAGATCAGCCTGCCTCTGCTGAATGCTACTATTAAATGTGTGTGCTACCATGTCTGCTTAAATTCCCAAACAGAAAGGAACAACAATTCGTGGGGTGACTCTGGCCAGTAATCACAGACCCTGGAGGCTGAGGTGGGAGAGTTGCCACAAGTTCAAGGACAGTCTGGGATATAGAATCAGACTCTGTCTCAATGCCTCACAATCCCCAGAAAAAGATAACTAGAGAACTGAAAAACATATAAAATGATTGGAATTTTAAATGTGGCTGAATATTTGAATAGATTTGAATAGATAATATTAAATAATAATTTGGGGAGGGGGTTTGAGACAAAGTCTCTCTGTAACCAACCTCAGGGGCCTGGAACTCACTATGTTGACTAGGCTGACCTCCATCTCACAGAGAATCACCTGCCTGTCTCCAGAGTACTGGGATTAAAAGTGAGAGCCACCAAACCCATAACTATTTTTGATCTGTTTTTGTTTGTTTGTTTCTTCTTAGGATAAGGTCTCATTGTGTAGCCCTGGATGGCCAGAAACTGACTATGTAGACCAGGCTGGCCTGGAGCTCTCAGAGATCTGCCTGCCTCTCGTTTTCCACACGATAGGATTAAAGGTGTGTACCACTATGCCTGACTCATTTTTATCTTTAAATATGAAAGAAATCTTGTATTTATGGTATGGAAAAACAGCCTTTTTTCTCCTGAATCTGTAAAAAGTGAAATGTGAAATGAAAAGTGAAATCTGGTATTTACTTTAAAATTTCCAGGAGGGGATGAGGCTTAAAATGAAGTCTTAAGATGAAGTGTCAATATACATATACTATGTATGTGGGAATTTTTACTCATATTATGTTTCTACATATCTGGTTTCCCATAACATTACATTCAGAAAGTGTGCAGAAAAACAAAGGAAGCAAAAATATTTATCTTGTGACAAATAGTATGAGGAGAGTATGTTAATGAAGCCAGTTTCTCACTTGAACCTGTCCCAGCCTAAGGCACTAGGCTCACCTCAGGCCACCAGGTCACCTTTCTCAATCTTGCTACAGCTCCTACAAGGGGAGGAAGAGTTCTTTCCTGACCTAGTCTTAGCACTATGTTTTTTTTTGTCTTTTTGAGACAGGGTCTCCCTGAGGCCCCAGCTGTCTTGGAACTCGCTATGTAGAACAGGCTGGCCTCGAACTCACAAAGATCTGCCTGCCTCTGCCTCCCAAGTGCTGGGATTAAAGGTGTGCACCACCACGCCCGGCATATCATTTGTTTTTTTGTTTTGTTTTTTGAGACAGGGTCTCCCTGTAGCCCCAGCTGACCTGGAACTCGCTATGTAGACCAGGTTAGCCTAGAACTATATTGTTTGTTTTTTTTAAAAAAATTTATTATTATTTTTATTTATGTGTATGAGCAGATTGCCTGCAGGTATATGTAAGCACATCTTAGTTGTACAATGCCCTCAGGTCAGAAGAGGGCCTAGGATCTCCAGAAATGAGTTATGATTAGCTGCTATGTGGGTGCAGGTCCTCTGCAAGAGCAGCCAGTGCTCTTAACTGCTGATCTAACGCTCCAGCCCCCATTATTCCATTTCTACCCTAGAAGGGAGGAGTCAGTGTCATCTGCCTTTATCTGCTTATCTCCAAAGCTGTTTCAGGCAAATCCTGATTTAACCAATGTAAGCAGCTAAAGAACTACCGGAAGGGCTTATGGGAATACAGATTCCTGGGATGCACCTCTGAGGGACAACTCAGGAGATAATAGGATAGGGCTTCTCAATTTAGATTTCTAGCCAATTACTCAATAAACTGAACATACGCTTTGTCTGAACCCTTCCTCCCTCCCTTCCTTACTTTTTTAAAGATGGGGTCTCACCATAAAGTCCAGGCTGACCTGCAACTGAATACTGGCTCAGACTCTCTGGTACTGGCATTACTGGTGCTTATCACCTTAGGCAGGGTCATACTCTGTAGCCCACGCTGGTCTAGAGGTCATGACCCTCCAGCCTCTACTGCATCCGGAGCACTGGATTAACAGGCATGCGCCATCCTGCCTAGCTAAGAAGTCTTAAATTTTTTCAAAAGGGCTTTTGATTTATACTGCTTACAACTCAGCTGCCTCCTACTGGACAAGATAGGATCCTGAGAGGAATAAAACTGATAAAATCCCTGTGAAATTACTAGAGGTGGGGGTGGCAGAGAGGAGGAGGGGAAAGAGCTCCCGTAGGTAACAGGAAGTAGAAGGAAGCATTTACCTATAAAAGAGGTCGAAACTCTGGTGAACCACAGTGAGTTGCAGATATCCTTATCTTTGCTGGCTTTGTTTTCTCCCAGACTGTCCTGAAAATGTCAGACTCAGATTACAACGTGGAGAAGGTAAGTTTTTTTTTTTCTTTAATGGAGTTAATTTCCTCACTGAGTTGTTTTTTAGTCTTTTTAGGTCTCTTTGGTTTCCTTCTTGCTAGCAATTAGTTTCAGGGTGTTAGGAACCACCATTTAGGAAGTTCTCTTTTCAAATGGATTGCTACTTTTCTTTTACATGACATTATGTATTTCCTGGGAGAAAAAAAAAGGCTTCCTAGTTGAGAGGAAACATTTATATTGTGGCTAGGACAAGAGGTGCTGTAACTGAGCAAGCAAAAATTGTAAAGAAAGGAGAGCTAAGATTAAGCAGAAATGAATCATTTTGGATACTTTTTGGGTAAATCATATTTTTAAAAAATAAAATAGCCATTTTTTCCTCCCCTTCCCCTCCTCTTCTGAGTGTAAGTAGCCAGTTCCCAGTACTCCCTAATGCCAGATTAACTGGCAAATGATGGGTTCCCAGCCTTGAATTGAGTGATCCTGGACCAGATGAGAATCTAAATTTTAAAATATTAGTGTATTTTAGGGGTCACTATACCAGACAAGACCACCGAACTGGCCAGCCCAGGGTCTATGGGTATGGGAGTCACAACTGCTTTAGGCCCCAGTTTATCTCCAGAGTAGAGTGCTGTCCACAAATAATGTCAATGTTTTTGTTTTTTAAGTTAACAAAAGTAAATCTGTGTCTGGAGTATGTTGAAAGGGTGCTATACAAATGCAAAACTCAAGTTCGAAAGTAAGGGGATTGATGGGATGTCTGTAGGGGAAGGGGCAGGGCCTGGGCCAAATCTGTAAGAATATTCCAGTACTGCTGAATGTAGTTTGCTTTTCTGTAGCTTTAAAAGGAAAAGCAAGTTAAGGACTGGACTCCAGGACATGTTTCTATATGGGACTGTCATTTAATTTCTGAAACTTGGTTTGTCATTTGAATTTTTTTTTTTTTTTTTCCTGGTCTTTTTGAAACAGGGTCTCTCTGTAGCCCTAGAACTCCTTATGTAGACCCTGGCTGCTCAACTCACAGAGATCTGCCTGCCTCTGCCTCCTGGGACTAAAGGCATACACCACCACACCTGGCTTGGTTTGTCATTTATAAAAGAGGAAAACTGAGATAATTTAGAAAAATACAGAAAGCACCTCCCATGGTTTCCTGCTAGCCTGGTCCAACCCACCTGCTTTTCCCACACTGTCTTTCATTCATTCCAACATTAAAGTACTGCTAGTGGGAAACAAACTCATTAGGTGTGCCTTGAAAGTAAATTTTTTAGTTCTGTGATATCAAATGAGAATTACTAACTGATCTTCTCTTTCCAGAATTGCTCAGTGGAGGAATTGGATGAGGAAAGTGTGATTTTAACACTGGTCCCAGTTATAGAGGAGCCTATCACAGGACATCTAATGGAATCAAATGTTTTTTCAATGGGAGATGTCAAATTTGAGAATCCTGGGGAAAACAGCAAAGGTATGCAGTGTGACTTGATCAGTAACTAACTCTAGAAAACCCAGGAAAAGTAGGTTCTTTGTCCCATCAGTCATTAACTGTACAGCCCCCAGTTACTCATGTTAAGAGATTTCTCAAACTCTAGGGCATAGTGACTCACACCTTTAATCCCAGCACTTGGGAGGCAGAGGCAGGTAGATCTCTGTGACATGGAAACCCAGCCTGGTCTACAAAGTGAGTTCCAAACCAGCTGGGGCTACAAGGAGACCCTACTTCATAAAGACCAAAAAAAAAAAAGAGAGAGAGATTTCTCAAACTCCCTACTACTACTTATTTGCTAAGCCATGTCTGCTTTGTTTAAAGACACAAAATAAGCACACAACTACTCATGGGGCAGCTAGGCAGAAGTTCAAATTCCCAACCCTAATGGGCATGGTGACATAAACCTTTAATCCCAGCACTCAAGGCAGAGACAAGTAGATCTCTGTGAGATTGAAGCCAGCCTGATTTACATAGCAAGTTCCAGGCCAGCTGGGGCTGTAGGGAGACCCTGTTTCAAAAACAAAATGAAAAAAATCCCCAACCCTGTGAAGCCCGAGTTCTGGAAAATGAAGGAGACCAGGCTGGCCTTGATCTCACAGAGATAGGTCTGTCTTTGCCTCCAGTGCTGAGATTAAAGGTATGCATCACCACACTCCACTTTATTTTTAGACAGGAATCCATGTAGTCCAGGCTGGCTTCAAACTTTCTGTATAACTAAGGATGGCATTGACTTTTCTTTTTGTTGTTCTGTTTGAGGGATTTTGTGTGCCATCATGCCTGGCAGCACTGAATATTTGATCATCTTGTCTCCACCTTCCAAGTGCTGTGATTAGAAGTTTGTGTCACTTCATCTGAGTGGTGCTGGGGATGAAATTCTGGGCCTCATCAGCCATGCATACTATTTATAGACTGAGCTATATCCCTAGCTCCAAAATCTAGGCACAGGATATCAAGTGTGTTTTCTCAGCTGGTTGTTGAAGGCAATAATAATAACACACTAATATGGTTACATGAAGAGTATGAAATTTTGAATCAAAGATTAGATATGAGTACCAGGTCTCTTGTTCTAATGGCTGGCTGTGTGATCTTGGACAAGTGCTTTGAATCATCAGACATTATGCTGGGCCTTTAATGCAAGCACTCAGGAGCAGAGGCAGGAGCAGAGTTCAAAGATCCTAGGCTATATAGCGAGTTCCAGGCCAGCCAGGGCTACATAAGGATACCCTATCTCAAAAAGCCAACACCACCATCACCACAAACAACAAAAAAATCCAACATTATATTGTTACTACTTTGGCTTCATTTTTTTTCTCAGTTCACCATCCTAAAAGCAAGGCCTCTCAAAGACGCAGATGTAAGGAGCCAGCCCTTCCTGTGCCAGACATCCTACCTCCTATTAATAATGTGTCCAGGAACACTCTGCGGGACTGGTGTCAACAATTTCAGTTGAGTACGGATGGTGAGGTTAGTGCCCTGCTAGGATTCTCTGCTGTGTGGAATAAGTATGCAAACCTTTCTTGGGTTTTCACTTTATTTCCCTTTTCTTTCCCTTAGAAAATACAGGTTTATTTGAGACTCCAGAGACATGCATATCCTGATCAAAAATATGTGAGTGAATGTGGCGGCACAGAATGGTGGGGGCACTATGGGCTGCCTTACTCTACTAAAATTTCTATATAGAACCTGCCTGGAAGGCAGGGTTGCTTTGTTTTTAATTAATATTGCATGTGTGGAGGGGTGGGTGCATATGCCACAGTGTGACTGTGGAGGCTAGAGGACCACGTTTTGGCATTGGTTCTCTCCTTCCACCTTCAAATGGGCTCTGGGGATTGAACTCTGGTAACCAGGCTTGGGTGGCAAGTGCCTTTGCCTCTTGAGACATCTAACTGACCCAAGAAAGCTTTTCTTTGAGACAGGGTCTCCCTATAGCTGCAGCTATCCAAGAACTCACAGAGATCTGCGTGCCTCTGTACCCCAAGTGCTGGGACTAAAGGTGTGTGCCACCTGAGGACCTAGTGTACCAGTATGAACAGGCAGTATGAAAAATGACAAAATTGGTACCCAAGTCCTTCTAGCATGAGCACTTCTGAATACTTATGAATTTTATTTTCAGGATATTCCTAGCACATCATGGGAGGCCAGATTGAAGGCAGATTCCTGGAAATCCAAGGAACCCAGGCATCAAGAAAGTTCTAACAGGAAAGATAAAACAACTAATATGGCTGAAGTGGTAACTTCAGCCCAGGAGTCCATTTTAGCAGCTTGGGGAAGAATTGCCAAAAGAGCTACCCAGCCCCTGGCTGTGAATAGCTGTCCTCTTCCCACTGATGAGGAGGCTTTTTTGCCTCAAACCTTCGGTAAGACCAAACTTCAGTTGTGACTACTACTCTGTAGAAGCATGGTTGACGTTACTACAAGACAGAAACAACCTCCACTTTTCTTTTCTTTCCTTCCTTTTCTTCCTTTCCCTCCCTTTTTCCTCCCCTTTCCCTCCTCTCCCCTCCCCTCACCTTCCCTCCCTCCCCCCCTTCTGTCCTCCCATCAACACTAGGTAACACATACATGTGGGTATAACACTCATACACATAAAAAAATTGGCTACCATATATCCTAAAATGGTTTTGAGATTTAATGACACCAGCTTGAGACACCAAAAGCAGGCAATAATAACTAAAAGACTGGTATTAGGTGAGGCCCAGGGTTCAACCCTAGTACCACACACATAAAAAAATATTCTCAGAGGTCATAGGTCCTAAACATTCTTCCCCTCAGTGCTAGGTATTGAACCCAAGACCTCATAAATATGAAAACCCTGACCCTGGGTTATGCTCTGAGTCTGTTTCTTTTTTCTCTTTCTTTCCTCTCTCTTTCAAGATAAGGTCTCATGTAACCCAGACTAGCCTCAACCTTGCTATATATATATATATAGCTCAGCCTGACCTTGAATTCCTGATTCTACCTCTACTTCCTAGTGCTGGGATTGAAAGTGTGAATGCTACACCTGACTTGTTATTTTCTTCTTTTGAAATAGTCTCACTCTAACCAAGCTGGTCTCCACCTCTTGGTGATCGTTCTGTCCTAGACACCCAGTATTAGGATTGCAAGTACGCTGTTGCCATAGACTTTTAGACTCCTTAGACTTTTTTTTTTGTCTTTTTGAGACAGGGTCTCCCTGTAGCCCCAGCTGACCTGGAACTCACCAGGCTGGCCTTGAACTCACAAACATGTGCCTGCCTCTGCCTCCTGAGTGCTGGGATTAAAGGTGTGTATCACAACGCCTGGCCTCCTTATACTTTTAAACACATTCATCCTGTTTTCTTTCTCTTTTTAAAGACATGAACTTAGGGGCTAGAAAGATGGCTCAGTGATTAAGAGCATGAACTCTTGCAGAGGACTGAGGCCTGTTACCAGCATCCAAGCTGGGTGGCTATAATCACTTGTAACTCCAATTCCAGGGGCATCTGACTCCTCTGGCCTTCACCCCCCCCCCCCCCCCACACACACACATAATTTTAAAAAATGAAATCTAGGGACTGGAGAGATGATGACTTAGTGGTTAAAAGCACAGACCAGAGAGCCTGGGTTCAATTCCCAACACCCACATGGCTGCTAACAACTGCCCATAATTCCAATTCCAGAAGATCTGATGCCTTCTGTCCTTGGACATTGCACAAAACGGGTGCACTTACACACATGCAAATACACTCATACACATTAAAAAAATTAAAAATTAAAAAAATTAAATCTAAAAAGATTAATTCTTACTATATATAAACTTTTCCCCCTGGTGATGGAGATTGAACCCAAGGTCTTGAACTTCCTAGGCAGAGACTTGACAACTGGACTATATCTCTACCTCCTTACCTCTTTTTTTTTATTGTTCTTATACATTTCCATACTAGTATATACTATACAGTGAGCACATCCTCCCCTTCCACCTTCCTACCCTCTCTTCTCTCCCTCTTTGCATTAGTTAGTCCCCTTTGTCCACTAAACAGTCTCATTTCTACCTTCATGTCATCTGTGTGTATGATTTTATGTGAATATAAAGCCTAGGACCCACAAATGAGAAAACATACTAAAACATACTTTCTGAAACTGCAATTTACATACTATCTCCAGTTGCATCCATTGTTCTGATGATGTAACTTCATTATTTTATGAATGAAAAAATTCCATTGTGCGTATGTTCTTTTCTTTCTTTTTTTCTTCCCTCCCTCCCTCCGCCCCCCTCCTTTCTTCTTTCTTTCATCTTTTTTGAGACAGGGTCTCCCTGTAGCCTCAGCTGGCCTGGAATTCGCAGTGTAGACCAGGCTGGCCTCCATCTGACCCCATCCCCCAGAGAACCGCCTGCCTTTGCCTTCTGTACTGAGATTAAAGGAATGCACCAGCACAGCAGGCTTTTTTTTTTTTTTTTTTTTCATTTTCTTTATTAGACCACATTTTTTTTTTCTTTTTTACCATTCCTCTGTTGATGGACACTTAGATTGGTTCAGTAACCTAGCTATTGTGAGTAGTGTTTAATAAACATTAAGTATCTCTGTGATATGTTGACTTGCAGTACTTTAAGAAATAACCAGGAGAGCTATACTGCTGTAGCTGTGTCCTACAGTAGATTTATTAGTTTTTGGAGACTTCCATGTGGCTGGCCTAATTTTCATTCTTACAACAGTCTGTAAGAGTTCTGTTTTGTCCTTTTCTCTCCTATATTATGTTTTCTTTTTTTATAACTTTAAAAAAATTTTATTTATTATTTTTCTTTTATGTGTATGCATGTATTGCCTGCATGTAGGTAAGTGCACCCATGTCGTGCAGTGCCCTCGGAGGTCAGAAGAGGCTGTCGGATCCCCTGGGACTGGAGTTACGGACAGTTGTTAGCTGCCATGTGGGTGCTGGGATTTGAACTCGGGTCTTCTGCAAGAACAACCAGTGTTCTTAACTGCTGAGCCATCTCTCCAGCCCCTCCTATGTTTTCTTAATGACTGCCATTCTCACTGGGGTAAGATGAAATGTCAGTGTAGTTTTTAATTTGTGTTTTTCTGATGGTCAATGAGGTTTAACATTTCTTCTGTGCTTATTGGCCAGTTGTACTTCACTTTGGAGAAGTGTCACTTTACCATATTGGCCCATTTATTGGTTGTGTTTCTGATTTCTTGTTTTAGTTTCTTGAGCTCTTTGTATGTTCTAGATGGCAATTCTCTGTCATATGAAAAGCTAGCAAAGGCATTCTCCCAATCTGTAGACTCTCTTCACTCCATTAACTGTTTCTTTTGCTATACAGAAAGGGCCAAATTCCTAGAGGTCTCTGTTAACCATTGTTAGCATTATTTCCTGAATGACTGGAGTCTATTCAGAAAGCACTTACCAGAAGGCTAGGTCTAGCGTTAAGGTCTTTTATCCATTTAGAGTTGATTTGGGTATACAGGGATCTAGTTTTCATTCTTCTGCTTATGGTTATCCAAATTTCCAGGCACCATTTGTTGATGAGGTTATCTTTTTTTACCTACGTACATTTTGGGCATCTTTGCTAAAAATCGGGTGGCTGTAGCTGCATGGGTGTATTATGTCTGGGTTTCCCATTCCATTTTTAAGTTGTTTTTTTTTTTTGTTATTGTTGTTGTTCCTGTTTCTGTGAAGAATGATGTTGAAACTTTGGAGATTGCATTGAATCTCTAGGTTGCTTTTGGTAAGAGCAATTTTGCCATTTTCACAATATTAATTCTTTAAATCCAAGACCATAGAAGGTTTTGCATCCTTCAGTATCTTCTCCAATTTTTTCAAGTTTTTTTTAGTTTCATTGTACGGGTCTTCAGTCAGATCTGTCACTTTCTTGGTTCATTTATTCCAAGGTTTGCAGTTATACTTATTTGTTTAGCAATTGTGTATGAGACTGTTTCCCTGATTTGTCAGTCGAATGGGCTGAGTCAGAATACCTGAATCCTTGTTTGGCACTGGGGAAAAAATTATATTTAATACAACAAACAGCAGTTCCCTTCCTATAAAAAAGAGCAGTTGTTTGGGGGCCATAGCTCAGTGGTAGAGATCTTGCCTAGCATGCTTGAGGACCTGGATTCAATTAAGAGAAGTATTAATAATATTTGTATTAATACATGTAAACCACTTAGCAAAATCCTGAGCACCAAACACATACTGTAGAAGGCAACTGTGGTTTGTTGTACCACATAATTTGGGTTACAAACCTTGTGATCTGGCCTGTGTTCTCCATGCACCTTGCTCAGTTGATTTTGAGGAGGATATGAGGTTTCAAAATCAAGAGTAGATTGCTGAAAGGCTGTAGTGCAGTTATCTTGACCTTCTATTTGCTTCTCATTCCTACTCTCCAGGGGCCAGATGGTGTGTAGTCCATGGCAGACTGCTCCCTGCAGATATGCAGCGAGGCTGGGTTCGCCTGAAGTTTCATGCTGGTCAGACCTGGGTCCCGGACACTCCCACGAGGATGATTTCTCTCTTCTTGTTGCCATCCTGTGTTTTTCCATCCTTAGGAATAGAAGACAATATGCTGTGCCCTGAATGTGTTCAAAAGTAACTCCTAAGTATCTTTCTAAGCATGGGAAACAGAAAAAGCAAATGTCTAGATGGATTTTCTAGTAATTTAATAGAAAGCAAACTTACTGGTTTATTTTATTTATTTATTTTGGTCTTTTTGAGACTTCCTCGTAGCCCCAACTGGTCTAGAACTCACTGTGGAGACCAGACTGGCCTTGATCTCAGAGAACTGCTTGTCTCTACCTCTAGAGTACTGAGATTAAAGGCATGCATCACCATGCCTGGCTTCATACTGTTTTCTTAATTTGCAATGTAGATTAGGTAAAAATAGGAAATAAGAACTTAGACTTAAATAGATGTGATTTGTTAGCAGCCTTAATAAAATACCTGAACTCAGGAACTTATCTTGGCTTCAATTTTAGGGATGTATTCCAAAAGCTGAAACATTGTCGGGGTCTGGGAATGTAGCTCACTGGGTACAGGGCTTCCCTGGCATGAATAAAACCCTGGGTTCAATCTCCAGCACTGCATAAAACCCAGGTAGAGGCAGGAAACAGAAGTTCATCATTGTTCTTACCTACATAGTGAGTTAGAGGCCAGTCTAAGCTACACGAGACTCTGCCTTATAAATAAAAAGAAAGTGCTGGGCATGGTGGCACATGCCTTTAATCCCAGCATTTGGGATGCAAAGGCAGGTGGATCTCGAGGCCAGTGTGTGGTCTACACAGTGAGTTCCAGGCCAGCTGAGGCTACAGGGAGACCCTGTCTCAAAAAGATCAAAAAAAAAAAAGTGGCGAGCCGGCCTTTAATCCCAGCACTCAGGTGGCAGAAGCAAGTGGATCTCTGTGAGATTGAGGACAGCCTAGTCTATATACTGAGTTCCAGGCTAGCGAGGGCTATGTAGTGAGACTCTATCTAAAAAACACTAAATAAATAAGTAAATAAACATTTTTGAGTTCTTACTATGTGCCTGATACCCACTTGTCTCACTTGGAAATACAAGCATCAGTGAGAAAAATCTATGCTGAAACAGAAAGTATTGTCATGTAGGGGAGAGCTTCAGAGGATAAGCAAGGGTAAGCAAGGATCTCCTGTTATACATCATCGTTTCTCAGTCTCATTTGGTATATGAACCTCTTTCAGGATACAATGCTGGCTACAAAGGCCCCAAGAAAGTATACATTGAACTTAAATACTGTTTTAGATTGCATTACATTTTTTTTTATATATTTTGGGTTTGGGAGGGGCAGGGGAGGTACACAGACATCACATTTATCAGGAGGTCAGAGGATAGCCTATGGGAGTTGGTTCTCTCCTTTCTCTGTGTGGGGACTGGAAATGGAATTCAGGTTATCAAACTTGGAGGTGAGTACCTTTACCTGTTGAGCCATCTCAATAGCCCTTCTTTAGATGTTATATAGAACTTGGTTAATGTCTATCCATGAATAGAAAACAATGTTTTGTGCTTTGAGAGTAATTGTAACAGATGGAGCCTGAGTCTTGAGAATTAGGAAAGCCACCTTAGTGACTCCAAAAATGGATTCCCTATTTTGTTCATCTTTCTTTGAGACACGGTCTCTATGCCGCCCTGGCTGTCCTGAAGCTATGTAGAACAAGCTTGTCTCAAACTGGAGATCCACCCACCTCTGCCTCCAGAGGTCTGGGATTAAAGGCATGCATTTCTATTCATCCTTATAAAGGAGTAAGTTTGTTCTATCAGCCTTTTACAATTCTTTTGTAACTTGTCTTACAGTAATAAGAAGATCATGAAAAAATTAACTACCACAACGGAGAGAGACAGTGAAGAAGACCAAAATATGCTTCCTCCAAATATGCCACCTTAGATCATGAATATAAGGTCTTCAGATTGAAGGCAACTGAGAAGAAGCAAAGAGAGACACTCTAAGTTCCCTATAATGGTGAAAAAACCAGCACATAAATCTCCAGAAGTCCCTTCTCCTGTCTCTACCAGGACAAATGGTAGAATGTTCACAGATAAATCAACATTCCCCCGATAACTGACATGCTGAGGCCTAACCATCTTCTGAGTCTCTTGATGTCTTGAGTTGGACTTGTTATTTAGCTGCATAGGAAATGATGGTGTTGTTTTAATGGGTTTCTTTTTATTATATTTTGTTCTCAAGATTTTTTTTTTTTTTGAGCAGTTTCAGTTTCAGAACAGTTGAGCAGAAAGTACAGGTTTTATATAATCTCCCTTCTTCAAGTTTCTTCTATTAAAATCTTATTGTGGCATATTTTTTAAATTGGTGTTTCAATACTGATTTTTTTTTTTTTTTTTTTTTTTTTTTTTTTTTGAGTCAAGGGTTTGCCATATAGCTCTAACTAGCCTAGAACTCACTAGGTAGACCAGGATGTCTTCAACGTTGTGATCTGCCTTCTGCCTCTGAATGAGATTACATATAATACCACCATGCTCAGCTGATACATTATTAATTACAGTTTGTAGATTTCATTGCCTCTACTGGACATTCTGTGACTTAAAAAGTTTTTATTTTATGTGTATGAGTGTTTTGCCTGCAAGTATGTAAGTGTTCCCATGTGTGCAGTGCATGAGGAGGCCAGAAGAGGGCATCAGACCCCCTGGAACTGGAGTTACAGTTGTGAGCCATCATGTGGGAGCTGAACCCAGGTCCTCTGCAAGAACAGCCAGTGCTCTTAACCACTGAGCCATCCCTCCAGCCCCCTAGTATTAGATGCAGTAATTTTACTGTTCTAAAATACTGACTCCACTTATTCTTCCCTCTTCCTTAGAAACCATAGATTTTTTATCATACATTTGGGATCATATAAAATGTTGCTTTTCAAGTTGGCTTTTACCTAGCAATAGGAGTTGAAAAAATTTCCATGCTTAGATTGTTTTTTTTTTTTGTTACTGCTGAGTAATATGCCATCATTAAGATGTACCACAATGTATTCATTCAGGTATTGATGGACACCTAGTTCTTTGTATTTGAGACAGGGTCTCATTTAATTTACCCTGACATTTCATACATGTATATAATGTGTTCTTTGTGGGTTTTTTGTTGTTTGTTTTGAGGGGGCAGGGGGGATTTTTTTGTCTTGCTTTTTGAGACAAGGTGTCTCTGTAGCCCCAGTTGGCCTGGAACTCACTATGTTGATCAGGCTGGCCTCAACTCAGAGCTTGGTTTGTTTCTGCTTCCTGAGTGCTGGGATTAAGTTGTGTGCCTTTATTTTTATTATTTTTATGTGTATGACTGTAATGCCTGCATATATGTAAGTGTATTCCTGTCATGCAGTGCCCAAAGAGGTAGTCAGAAGAGGGTGTTGGATCCCCTGGAACTAGAGTTATGGATGGTTGTTAGCCACCATGTGGTTGTTGGGAATCTAACCTGGGTCTTCTGCTGAGTCATCTCTCCAGCCCCTAAATTATGTGCCTTTAATCCCAGCTATATAATTCGTTCTGATCACACTTACTGTCCCTACCCGCTCTTATCCCACTCTTACCCCACCACCCCTGCCAACCCCATCACCTGTGTTCACCTTCCCTTTTTTTGTTTTATGACCCACCGGTTTTAATCAGGGTTACCTGAATAGCATACATGTGGAGCTATTCACCAATGGCTACTCCACTGAAGATCCCCTGGAACTGAAGTTATGGATGGTTGTTAGCCACCATGTGGTGCTGAGAACTGAATCCCTGTCCTCTACAAGAGCAGCTGGTGCCTTGCTTGCTTGCCAACTCTCCAGTCCCTTATTTAGTGTTTTTTTTTTTTTGTCTTTTTGTGACAGGGTCTCCCTGTAGCCCCAGCTGGCCTGGAACTCACTATGTAGACCAGGCTGGCCTGGAACTTTCAAGTGCTGGGATTAAAGGTGTGGGCCATCACACCCAGCCCTTTTATTTTTTTTGGACAAAATTTTTTTTTTTTTTTTTTTTTTTTTAGTGAAACTCCTTATATACACCAGATTGTCTGCCTCTGCTGGGATTATAGGTATGCACCACTACACTCAGTTTTAGGACATAAACCCAGAGCTTTGTGCATGCTAGGCAAGCATTTTACACACTGAGCTACATCCCTAGCCCCTAGCATCCATCTTTCCTTTCCTTTCTTTTACTTTTCTTCCCTTCCCGTTTCCCTTTCCCTTCTTGCCCTTCCCATTTCCCTTCTCCTTCCTTTCCCTTCCCCTTCCCCTTCCCTCCCTTTCCCTTCCCCTTCCCATTTCCCTTCTCCTTCCCCTTCCCTTCCCCTCCCCTTCCCCTTCCCTTCCCCTTCCCTTCCCTTCTTCCCCTTCCCCCTTCCCCTTCCCT